ACTAGTTTCCACTGAACAAAATTTGAAATTTCTTCACAATATGTTTATCTTAAGAGTTCTAAAAAGTAATTTCTTGATGTTCAGGGTTGAGGATTTCCCACTTGAAAATTTTAGGAACACAACTGAGAAAGCTCTTCATTCCTTTCTTTTCTCCATTATCATCCTGGACTCCTTCAAGACCTGATGAAAATCCCACATGCATGAGAAAGAGTTCATGGTCTAACTACTGGAAGATGCCTAAGAGTTTAAAAAAAATATTTTTAGAAATTCTACCTGAAGGAATGATTAAAGATTAAACAAAAAAGCCTATCATACTAGCATCCTATGCCTTGTATTATTCCTTATGAAAAGGAATTAAGATTCCTTGAAGAAATGGTTGATTTCACATCTGAGGCACAGTAGTTACAGGATGGATATCTTGTTATCTAGAAAAAAGAAAGTGCCCACCTTCTGCTCCAAATAAAGAAACTGGTAGGGTATTACAAGGACATGGGGACAGCTCTAAGTGACCCCTACTAGCCACATCTAAGACAATCTGAGCATGACAACAATTAGTACAGTAAAAAACTATTGGAAAATGAAAAAAAATTGTAAGTCCATGTCAAATATAAAGATAAATTTAAAAATAATGGAGGAAAAGGCAGGGTTCGTATTTACAGTAGAATCTCAAGTGCCTACTCATAAAAATGGAGGAAGTGTTGGAGTTAGAAAAGCACTATTTTGCAACCATCTTGTTAAAGATTGGATCATGCAAGAGTCATTGATCCAGAGGGAAATTTTGATGAAGCAAGATATTTGTATGGTATTAAGTGTCTGTACAGATTGCTTGTAGTTGTAAGGGGAAAAACAGTACCAACATAATACTAACTATATTATAGCTATATATGGAGTATTATTTATATATATATATTTATCACAATTTAATTTCTATGTAAGTAACTGCATAGTAGTAATATATAATGATGTAATCAGACAAACCTTGACTGGGTGATCCAAATTAACATCAGGGATGAGTAGATGGACATGATGTGCCTCCAGATGTGATAACTTGAGGAGGACCCAATATCACTTATGTATTATTCCAGCCTGGAATGCATTCGCTGAATTTAATCATAAGGAAACATCACATAAACCCAAAATGAAGAATATCTCAATGTAAAAAAAAAAAAAAAAAAAAAAGGACAGTTTCCTTCAAACCTGTCAATGTCATAAAAGACAAAGAAAGGTTGTAGAAATGTTTTAGATTAAAGTAGGCTAAAGAGACATAATAATAAAATGCATTACTTGACTCCAGAGTGAACCTTTCACTGGAGGCAGAAAATGCTGTGAAGGACGTTATTGGGTCACTTGACAAAATTGGAGTGCAGACAGCAGATTAGAAAATAGTATCCTATCAATGTTAATTTTCCTGAGGTTCATGACTGTCCTGTAGGTTATGTGAGAAAATATCCTCTTCTTAAGAATTAGACACTGAAGTCTATGGGGATAATGGGCCCTAATGTATGCTGCTTATCCTCTAGAGTCAGGAAAAAAGAAAATGATAGATATCTGTGTCTATAAATTTATACCCATCCATCCACCTGCCCATCTACCCATCTACCTACTTACCCATCTTTCTACCTATCGTATCTATCTTGGTCACTCTATGGATCAATGGATCTACTGATCTATCGATATGTCATCTATTGATCTATCATCTATCATCTTTCTTTCTTTCTTTTTTCTTCCTTTCTCTATCTGTTGGGCAAATGACAAAAAAAAAAATTGAGTAAAATTTTAATACATGAACCATATACATGGTATAATGGCGTTCTTTGTACTATTCATATTCTTTCGAGTTTTCTATAAGCTTAACGTTATGCCAAAATATTGAATTTTTACAAATTAACATAGCACCAGGTACAGTTTCTCTATGGCTTGGGATTAGCCTCATGTGTTCTGGAGGCTTCAAAGCACACCTGGTTCTAAGCTTGGCCTGACTACTTATGACTTCTGTGTTCTTAGATAGTCCCTTAACCTACTTTATGCTATAGGTTTTTTATTGGTGAAATGGTAATAATAAAAGCACCCTTCCTAAGGGTTATTAGACTTAATGAGATAATCCAAACGAAGTTTAGCACTGTACATGACCCGTAACATTGTTCGGTAAGTGTTACTGTTATATGATGAGTGTTCAGTCGACTCTAGTTGATCGAAAGGATTCATGGTTGAGCCAGCTCAAATACATTTAGAGAAAAGACACAGGGTTGGATTAAACATGTTTCTGAAATCTCTTCGATTATTGTAATCCCTGACTTCTTTAGATAACTCCTTGTATCTGATTTAGAAACAAAGTTTGCATTTTTTAATGATCTTTATTCTAGAGCAGTCTGTATTTAAAAAAAAAAAAAAAAGTAATCTGACCCTATGGTCTAACTGAAGAGTCGAATTGATTTTCAGAAGAGCCTTCAAATGAAATAAAACTGAATATATCATGTGCTCCTTCCCACCAAATCAGACATGATTTATTTCTGTCCAAATTCAGCCAATACTTCCTATAAAACAGTGACACTAGGGGCGCGGGGGTGGCTCAGTGGGTTAAGCTTCTGCCTTCGGCTCAGGTCATGATATCAGGGTCCTGGGATCAAGCCCCTCATCGGGCTCTCTGCTCAGTGGGGAGCCTGCTTCCCCCTCCCTCTGCCTGCCTCTCTGCCTGCTTGTGATCTCTCTCTCTCTCAGTCAAATAAATTAATTAAAATATATGTGTGTATATATACATTAAAAAGAGTAAAACCATTCTGCTGCTCTAACAGTGATACTTTCTAAGTTCATACATTGGCAAAAAACTGAGTTGTGTGGCATCTGCTTTACTATTTTACTTGGTTTTCTCATTTGAGGAATGCAGTCTTAGGTCAATCGAATGGAGATGGTCAATGTCACCCAATTGGAAGTGATGGAATTCAGACTCTCTCCTGGGTCGAGCGAGTTGCCTTCATGTCAGTGCTTCCTTCCTCCTTGGCTCCTTAGCACCTTCAGCAAACTGCCAAAATCAATTTCAGTTTTTTCCTACCAAGATCTTCCCAATCCTCCAATTCTTTTTGGCTCCAACCTTCTGCTTTGGCAACTTTGAAAATATTCTTCAGGATATGGAATGGAGAGAGATCATTTTGGAGTTTTGGAGTCAGGCAGAGTTGGATACAAAATCTGAACTGTACCACATTCTTACTGCATGCCCTCAACAGGCAAGGCAGAATAATATTCACATTGAAAGTGTTTCTCTGGGGGAGCCTGGGTGGCTCAGTGGGTTAAAGCTTCTGCCTTCGGCTTGGGTCATGATCCCAGGGCCCTGGGATTGAGCCCCGCATCAGGCTCTCTCCTCCGCGGCAAGCCTGTTTCCCCCTCTCTCTCTCTGCCTACCTCTCTGCCTACTTGTGATCTCTGTCTGTCAAATAAATAAATAAAATCTTAAAAAACAAAACAAAACCAAAAAAAAAAAAAAAAAAAAAAAAAAAGGGGAAAAAAATATTTAAAAAAAAAAAAAAAAAAAGTGTTTCTCTGGGGTCTGGGTGGGGGGTGGCACCTGGGTGGCAGAGTCAGTTAAGCAGCAGACTCTTGGTTTTGGTTCAGGTCATAATCTCAGTGTCGTGAGATCGAGCCCCATGTGCGGCTCAGCACTCAGAAGGAGTCTGCTTAAGATTCTCTCTTCCCTCTGCCTCTGCCCCTCCCATTGCTCATACTCTGTTTCTCTCTCTCTCTAAAATAAATGAATAAATCTTCAAAAAGCAAAAGTATATCTCTGGGGTCAGTCTTCTAGGGTTAGAATCCTACTTAGTGGGACCCCCTTTATTGGTCAAGTAATTTTACTTCTTTCTGTATCAGTTTTCTTATCTTTAAATGGGGATAATAGAGTTCATCCCATAGGATTGCAACAAAGTTTAAACAATATAATTATGTGAAATGCTTATAACTGTACACATAACACATGACAAGTACCTTTCTGAGTTTCAGTTTTCTTATCAGAAATTGAGGGTAAGCTCCTTTGATATGTTTAACATAAAGATTAAATGAACTATTGCAAGTAAAAAAAAGAACTCAACTCTGTACCTAGTTCATTAGTGACCATTCATTCATTCATTGAATATGTGTTAAAGGCTGGACATTCAGAGAAGACTCAGATATACGAGACTGTGGTCTCCTGATCTGTGGGGGCTGGGGGGGAGGCAGGAAAAGTGAGTTGTTGTTATAAAAGATAAGGATTGAGTATAGGCCTGATCTCTAAATCTTAGTAAAAGCATGTTTTGTTTTTTCTTATCTTCCATTCCCACTTTTAAGGCTATCTAATTTCCCTTTGATTTAGAGTTTAGAATCTCATTTTCTTTTCCACAAACAGTATTTAAATGTATCTAAGTTGGCATTTAGCTAATAAGGAAAATGAACATTTTGGGGGCATTTTGAAGTTTGCAAAGGGCTTTCATGTTCGGCTCCTCCTTTGGTCCTCCTCCGACGCTGTGAGGGACAGATGCAGGCCCATTATCTTCATGAAAGCTCCCATGGAAACATGCCTGCCACACATTCTTAGTGATTAGCAAAATAAAAGATTTTAAAGTAAAAATATTCCTGTCTCTTTTCTTCAAAAAGCAAACAGATTCTAGAGGAGGCAAGGACAAGAGCTGGAGGAGGAAAATTGGCAATTTTTTCTTTGCATAATTTTTCTGACAAAACAAAAAGATTTCTACATCATTTTTGATGACAAACTGTACCCATATCTTTGGAATTTTTGCAAATTTAGCATCAATCATGTACATTTTCCAGTCATTTTCATTGAAATTTCATTCTATTTATCTTGTTGGCAAAGTGAAAGGCAATTTTTGTTTGCTAACGTTGCCTTTTCCCTTGCTACATTAAAAAAATGGCAATGCTGACAAGAGGGAGGTTTTTCTTTTCTCCTGCAGGGAAGCCCCCAGTGTGCTCATTTGTATGTACAGTCTATCATTACTATTTTAGCATATTTTCCTTTTATTTATAGGTTTGAATCATTTATTATTCACTTGCAAACAGTTTGCCAAGGACTCTTAATTGGTACATATGGCAATTAAAACTTTTTTACTTAAATAGTTTTGGGACCAGGAAAGAAAAGGTACCAAAATCAGCATAATCAATTTAGCTATAAAACACTACGTCTGACTTTTTATTTTATTTATGACAAGGATTTGGTTCTAATGCTTTGTAAGTAGCATGGCTGCTCTCTCTAGTTCTACATAAATGAGATTCATGCCTAATGTGACTCCAATTTTCGCAAACAATCCCTCAAATACAGTTTTAACTTCCATTAAGGCTGTATCTACCCATCATAAAATGAATCTCGGGGAAGGAATTACTGGTGCGTGCAGGGTGTTAGTTTTTTAATAGGAGAGTCGGTTTGGGCCCTGTTAGCCTCTTCATCAAAACTTTCTTTTAGAAAAGTAACTTTTGTCATTTTTAAGGAGTATTTTCAGACAAAAGTCACATCAAGTCCATTCGCCATTGATGGAACTTAAGCAGTCTTTGCTGTAGACAAAATTTTACAGATAGATGAGAAAGGATTTTTCATATAAATGTAATGGTTTGGAAATGTTTATTCCATGCAGGCAGAGCATCTGTTAGTACCTTCTATCCCTCGGGAAGATTTCTGAAAGACTACAATGAGTAAAGTGGAGAAAATTGGAAATTTATGGAAACCCCAAAACTATCCCAAGAATGATGAAAATTACTTTGTAAAGCTCTGGTGAGTAAGTAGTTAGAAAGTACACATGCACACACAAACACACACACACAAACACACACGCAAACACACACACACAATGACTATGTCTGTAGGACTGAAAATGAGTCCGGCATTGTATTAGGCCCTTTCACCTACAGTATCTTATTTAATCCCTACATAATTTCATTGAAAAAGGTATTACTATTATTGTCCTATTTTTATAGTTGAGAGGGAAGATAACATACATGAAATAATTATAAAACTGATGAGTTAGATTGAATATGGAATAAACTGAGAGAAAGAAAGGAGTTCGAGAGCGGAAGAACAACTTCTTTAATGAGGGTTGAAGATGTTGGGAAAGAGATTGTAAGCAAGCCTTGACAGACAACTGTTACTCTAGAACCTACTCACTGTCCTAGAGCAGCTCAGTTCTCCCTCATTCCTGGAAACCTAGATATCTGTCTTTATCAGCCTCCACACTCCAGCCCCTGTGAATAGTAGTCTGTTTTCTACTCCCCAGGACTGACTGAAAGATTTTCTGTGTGCACTTAAGAACAAGATTGAAAACCCATACTGAATCTTAAGTTTTTTTTTTTTCTTCTTCTTCCTTAGTACTGGATTGGATCTCATAATAGGCTGCATTTTAAGGGAGAGAGAGAGAAAGAAGGACATCAAGATGTGTCCTCTACATTTGTCTACATAACCCATCCCATGCTTATGGCTGCTGATGACCCAGGAATGGGTATGCTTGTGCATGGATGAGGAAAATGAGGTCCAAAGAAAATAGGTAACTTACTTAAGCTCAGGAGGCAAGTAAGAGAAAAACTTGCATGCAGACTCAGGTTTGTCTTACGCCAATGTCTGTGAGCTTTTCATTAAGCTATGTAAAAAAACATTGATGAGGGTCTGGGAACCATACAATGAACCAAACTGCTTGCTCCTTACTGCCTGAGAGAGCAAATGTGGAGAAAATGGATGTGAAAACATAAATGGGCCCATGCAAGCCCCTTTCCCTATGATGGTAGAGAAATAAAAAATTTTATTTGTACTTCAATTAAGCTCTACTGTCATATAGCATCAGTTCTAATGATAGAGATTAAGGACCCTGTGGAAATCAGTAGGAAGTATGCTTCTTTCCATAACAAGATGATGAGATTGACTGTTGCAACGTGAAAGCACTTTGAGTTTGAAGACTGAAGCTCACATAGCAGGTGGCGTATTTTGGCAATAAGCAAGAGAACCATGGATATGTATTTGTGGATGTGGAAAGGGCAATGTTACCACCTGCTTAACATCCATTTTCCTTTCTCCCTTCCCTCCGCATTTGTTCAGAATGGTGACGTATTTTGCCTCCCTGGATCTGATGTAGACTGAAATTGGTCAGAGACAATCACAACTGTCACCTTCCTTGCTTTCCCAGTGTCCACAGCATAAGGGGCAGCCAATGTCAGTTGGATCCATGAGTCAGTTCTGCCAATGGAATCTAAGAAGTCTGTTCAGATTGTTCCTGGGAAGGTTTTCCTTTTCTCACAAAAAAGAACAGACAGAGTTGGCACCACTTTTCACCTCTATTCCTGTTTTGAATGCAGATGTGCCACCATCTTAACTGTAAAAGGACAGAAATGTCCGGCTGCCATCATGGAGCTGTTGGACACACATTGAAACAGCTTGCCTTTTGGATTTTTGTTGTTGTTGTTATTTTGTTTTGAGAAAAACTCAACACTATTTTGTTAAGATACCACATTTCAATTCTTTGTTACTTGCAGCTAAGTATATTCCTAACTGGTAAAAGAGAGATTATACCTATAATATCAACTACAGCCATTTAAATGAACAAGTGATTAAAAATATTCCATTAGGGAAATAATATTTGCACTAATCAAAATGATCAGCTCATCCATCCCCAAACCCAAATTCGTTTAATATGGGCCACACAGTAATAAAAATACGATAACTAAATAGAAGTCAGTAGATGCCACATAGGTGAGAGAAAGCTACTTACAATTCTTGGGGAATTTATTTTAAATTTATTCTTTTCTAGTTTTGAAATAAAACATGCTCTAGTTGAGACTATTCCTTCTCTCTTCTTTTATCATGGCATTTCATATATATGAAAAATTTTTCACGCTAATTATCTGCAAACAAGAAAGGCACATCATCACAGTGAAATCAATCCTTTCTTGATCCTGCTCAAATTTAGATGTAGCCCAAATGACACCTGACAGAAACATGCAGAGGTCATGCAGTTCTTGCTTATGAGAGATATTAATCAAACAAATGGCATTTGTCTAATTCAGCAATTTTATATCAGAAAATTTAACTTTTAAACCTTATGAAAAAAGAAGATTAAGTGAAAATAGATATAATGTATTTAGCGTTAAAAAAGCAAAACTCTAGAGATCAGGGTTACTAAGTTATTATTTCAAAAAATCTTGCTCTGAGATTGACAGGTCATTTTGAGTTTCCTACTTTTCTTCCACTTATATCTTTAGAAAAAGTCTCTCCTTAGTTGTTTCTACCTCACTTTTTAAGATATCATTACTAATAGGTTAGTAGTTATGGTTTTTCCTACCAAGTATGGTTTGATACTTCTAAGAACATGAAATCACTTTGATAATTCTAAGAAGACAAATCATTTTGCAGCTTTCAGGGGAAAATGTCTCCAATTTGTTTTTGTTTTTCACTCAGAGAATGAAAAGTTAGTGGTTGTGAAAGACTGCTTTCCCCAACCACCACTGTTGAGGGAATGATTTGTTATGTTCCCTCTTTAGTAATTTTTATTTTTATCTGTTTCTTTTTTCCGTTTAAATATCTAAATGAAGAAAATAAATGATTTTTATGAGTTAGAAAAAAAGTGATTTTTGTGGAATCCAAAAGGCCGCCCACGTGGCTAGACAAGGAGCCCGAATGTTTTCATACAATTTGAGTTCAGGGCATCAGTGAAATCACCCACTTCTCCAAAGAAAAGCTTTCACCTGGGATAAAATTTGTTACTCAGACTGTGGATAACTTGTTAAAAAGCCACATTTTTATTTTGCGAGTCCCCTCTTCATGCTAAGTCTTTTGTTGGTCACTATTTAAAAAGGGGAGATAAGCGGATATCATCTAAAATTTTTCCCTTAGAATATTTATTTTTTCAGGAATCAGATTGGAGTTCAACAAATTAATAGGCAGAAAAAATTTCCCTAGTTATCCATTCGTACACAGCAGCAGGGGGGTGGGTTCAAGTGCACATCAAACTTGCAGAGAAATTAAGTCAGAAAAGCTCCCTTAGTTGGTTAAGTGAATTATCCCTAGGTTCATACGTTAAAATGACACAGAGAAGCACTCCTATCTTTGCTAGCCTCAAAAGAGTAAAAAATAGTTTTCCTTATAAAACACGTTTGACACTTCCCACAAAGTCTTCGAGTCCCCACAGTGAGGTACTCACAGGGGGTTCACGGAGAATGAGATAACATAATTAAGTCTTAGGGAAGTGGGGTCATTTAAAACTCATATAGGATGAACAAATAGAGGTTGGGGTTCGAGCCAAAGGAAAACTTCGATTCTTTTCATTTAACTCCTTATTAAACCACAAAGGACTTTATTCTCACTTTTGTGTAACCTGTAGCCTAAACAAAGAGATGGTAGCAGTTCTCAGAAAGATAAAAGTATGTGTGTGTGTGTGTGTGTGTGTTCATATGTGTGTGCACATCCAGATATATGCACGTGTGTCTGTGTGTGGTGGTGAGGGCTGCTATCATTGTCCACTCACTCCAGACTAAGATCTTTTTCTCTATCTAAATGTGCTGGAGGTTAAATGCATGGTTTAATAATATGGAAGCCATTTCTATACTAAAAATCTCCCTGGATTGGTTCTGACAGTCAAATATGAAAATTATTAAATAGGCAAATAGACTACAGACCTTTTTAAAATATATATATATATATTTAAGACATAATATATATATATTAAATTTTATTTTTTATATATTTATATATAATAAATAAAATTAAGAATGTCCTAATTACCCAAAGAACCAGTTGGGGTGTTTAAAAAAAAAAAAAAAAAGGAGTCTTGAATATGGTCCTGAACTGAAGTATTTGACAACTCATTTTAACTATCTTTCAGATAAAGAATAAATTCAAAGATTCAGTCACTTGTGCTTACGGAAGAACATATGGCATGTTCAGTTGGAGGACAGAGTAACCCTCAACGTCCCAGCCAAATTTTAGTTAGAGTTATTATAGCCTCTTTATCTTACGGCTCCCTGTAGTCTTCACTTCCCAAGCGACAGGGCCGGATGAAGAGATGATTGTGCGTGAAGTGGTTTGTGATCTTCCTAAGGGAAAGACTTGATAAAACGTGGGCTCTTCTTAGGATCCAGCAGATGTGCAGACTCCAGCGAAAGCCCTGCTCGCTCAAACGCAGACAGCCATGAATCACGCACTGTCATTGCAGCGCGGCGGCTGGCCAGCAGGGCTGGGCTCTCAGGAAGAAGGCAGTAGCTGGAGGGGCTCACCATCCCTCCAGTCTCTCCAGGCCTTTTTTTTTTTTTTTTTCCTCTCTCCTTTTTTTTCCCCCTTAAGTCAGGCATGGAGGTTAGTTCTGCAATGAGCTTGGCGTTGGAGCTGGAGCTGAGGGGGAATTGTCCTAATCCAGGTGTCTCTACTTCTTCTTACCCACCCCAAATAAATACTAGGTTTGAGAGGAAAAAGCGCAACACTGATTTTGACTTGGGAAGCAGCATCTCCCTCACTTGTTGGCTGAGACTCAGGGAAGTGACTCAGACCATGGCTGAGAGTCATCCTTAGGAGCAAAGGAATTCCAGCCCGGAAACAAAGACCAGCAACAGGGCAGCCTCTCACTGAGGGCTGTGCTGAGAAACCACTTCATAGAAAAGGGGAAAGAAGAGGCATGCCATCCGCCTCAGGGGCACATTGGGCTTTTCTTCCCTTCCAGGTAGAAGGAAGTCAGCTGTCCTCTATGATATGGCTTCCTTTAGGATTGAGAGCTACCTGCCAGATTCAGGAAGTGACTCAGCTTTTAGAAGGCTTCTTCGAGGTTATTCTCTGTGTGTGTATATCCACACCCCGCATGGAAATGTCAAGCCCCTGCCCTGGGCCAAACTCTGTGCTAGAAGTGAGAGGCACACACCGAGCTCCCCTCATGGAGCTTCCAACCCTGGCTGAGTAAGCAGAGGCACAGGGAGGGCAAGACCAGTGGAAGCCCCACGTAGGGTGCAGAAATAAAAGCTATACTTGAAGGGTTCTCCAAGGAGGGTGTCTCACGGACCCTCACAGCACTGTGTAAACATCATTTTGTCCCTTGCAGAGTCCTAGGCTTGGTGTCGGCGTTTCTGAGAGCTAGCTGGAGCTTCGCTACAACCGGCACATCTGCCGCATTCCAGGAAGAGCTTGAGATTTTTTAAAGCTGTTTTTTTAGGAAGATCACAGTCCTTGACTTCTGATTTCCACATAGGCTTGCAGTGCTGGCAGCAAAATCCTCCCTATGCGTCAGCAAGCAGCCAGGAAATGAGATGCCCCACTCCTCCCCGGCATAGGAGCAATAATGCATTGCGAGTTTCGGTTATAAAAAATAAAAGGAAAAAATCAAGATGATGCCGTAGATAATGCGATGTTCCACCATTTGAATGAGATCTGAAATATTCTTTGGGTCTAACTACAGAGTAGTGTGACTCCCTAAAAGCTCAGATTCAC